TCGTTGCCAAGCGACGAAAACCCAACCCCGATGGCAAACACCAGGGGCGGAGGGAGGTGTACCGCGGGGGGGAGGGAAAGGTGCGGTTTATTAAAATTAAGGCTAGCAGCTAAAAACAAAAAATGTCTCTGCTTTTGTTGTGCTCCGCTTGTTGGTTCGAGCTTTTTTTATCGAGAAATCTCGAACGCGTTCGAGCGTGTGATGGGAAACCAGGCTAGCACAGGAGGCACTGGTCGCACACTACTAGGCTTTCGCGCACAAAAGTGTAGAGAGGCGTACCGCAGTACATGTCGCACCAATGGTGGTGCGTAGCAGCGTCTGTGTGTTGTTGGTGTCATGTGCCCCTCTCCGCCGTAAGAGAGGGAGAGAGAGGCCGCTGCTCGTGGTTGTTTCCCGCTCATTTTGAAATCTACAATGTTGCGTTCTTGGTGTAGATTATATAACTGTTACAGGTGAAACGCGTTGAAGGGGAGGGGGATACATAGGATAGTAGGCTAGGAGTAATACTGATTTACAGCAATGGAGCTTAGTCTTCCTTGTGTGTAACGTATCATCGAGGCAAATAAATGAACAGGCGGCGGTCAGCACAGCAGTAGAGTTGAACTTCCCTGATTGCTTGGAACGGTGTGTGTCTAAGTGTGCTGTCGAGACCGTTTGCAGCGTGTCTCAGTCATGTTGTAGAGCATCTTTCATGAAGGGCAGTAGCAGCAGCAACGAGTAGTAGTCGATTGGGGTGGGTCTTAACTGGTACACGACGAAAGGTACACTATGTTCCAACATCGGACCTGTTTCGATCGGGATCCGGGATCGTGCGACGACTGAAGCGTCTCTGCGCGCATAATTAATTGTCGTTTCAAGCGCGTCTCAAGGTTTGGTGAGTATCTTGCGCGGGCGCTGGACCTGCCCCGAGCCAAGCCTTCGGGGCGCATTATGATAGAAGTCTTCGACCTGGGGGCAGTGGTGCATGACTCGTTGTTCATTAATGGGCATTCCCTCCCAACACACAGGGCAACGCCCGCCCCGGACGCTAAGACGCCGGCTGGACACGACTTTGATGTTGGTGCGGTATCTTCATCCATCCGTTGTCATACGCATACGAATGTTAAGCAAGGCGCATCCTAGCTGCATTCAACCTTCGGTTCGGGAAAGTACTCGCGATGGCCAAGCAGTGCGATGCATCATCAGCAAAGAAATTCCAATGCCGTCACAGGCACGATTGATTCTGATGAATCACGAGACGTGCCAGACTGACTGCTCTTTCCGCTGTTCGGTATTCGTTCGCGAAGAAATTGGAAGTTCGGCGTTTCGACGTCGAGAGATGCTCCACAGGACCAGTGCTGCTCTGTCGCGGCCCTGTTGCCCTTTCTACGATGCTCGTGTGTGGAAGTTATCAAGCAGTCGAGATACCCCCGCCGACTCGTCATCCAGTACGTAAATAGGCATCTTCGACGTGTGCAGGGACTGAACTGAACAGATTGCAGTCATATGCATGTAGATCAATCGACTTGAATGCATCGAACGACGCCACATCGCCAGCGGACTGGGCAATGACCAATTCTCGGCGAGTGCACAGCCCAGGCTTGTCGACCTGTGCGATCGAGACCCGCATCAGCACAAGCACAAGCACAAGAGCGGCACGGTTGAAACGTGCGGCCCAAACATCGTCGGGCACGTCTGCTAGACCCAGCCATGCTGCTCGTGGGCAAAGCGCAAGAAGAGCACTGGATTCCCGGGCGCTGTGTGCCCCTGTTGCCCATTTTTTTTGTTCAAACTTTCGTTTTTTTTTAGTCCTCGTCTTCAGAGAGGGGGCGGCCCCGGCAAGAACCGACCCCCTATCGGCGTAGATTGCCATGCACTAAAACCTTTTCAGGCAAAGAGACACTGCAAGCTGTTTAGCTCCCAAACACTCCCAACAATTCAACCCTCAGAAACCTCCAAACTCGAGGCCAAAACACCCTCGGCACGCTCACACAATTGCTTCCCCACAGGCAAGAGTGAAGAAATCACACACCTGAGCGCACACGAAACGAAAGGCCTCTCGTAGAGACAAGGGGTGAACAACCGCAAGTGAACGGTAAGAGTAAACAATTATCAGCTGCGGGTCCCCCCCGCAAAAGCGCCGTTGAAGGCACACACCCAGCATCAGTCCGCTTGGAGAAAGAGGTCTAGACAGGGGCGGGGGAGACGCAAACATCGTCGTCGTCATCCAAAAAAGTTCTTAGAAGAAGATCTGGTGGACCGGGCCCATGGTGCTCTTGACGTACATCACCTGGACAAATGAAGGGTCGGGGAGGGTTGCATGAATGGCGAGTGAGGTCACTGCAGTGTCGGAGCATGGCAAGATCAATAAGCGCATAAAACAGCTGCGCTTAAGATATCTTGCCGACAACACAACACGTACTCGGTTCGGGTGTCCCATCCTTGACAGAAGCATAATTTCAGGCGCGGGACGACTACCCCTCCAACCGTGTTTCATCTCGTGCACGGTGAGCCCCAGTCAAGCTTGCTCGCAACAATCGCACACCCTTTGCAAGAGTCGAGCACCAGAGGTGCGTATTTGGAACACGATACCAATCTCCAGGGAGACAGACGGCTACGAAGCCAACTCTTGCAGCAACATTCCTCTACCACCGGAACAAAATGCAGTAGCCTATGCAGGGTTTTTGTATTCAGGAAACATGTCGGATGAAGCATAAAATCGGGGGAGTTGGACTAGGGTTAGGGATAGGGAATCAGGGTCTGCGTACTCCCTCTCTGTTCTAGTTCCTTGTAACACTGAATTTCTCTCGAAGGCGGTCCAAGAAATGGCACCGCTAACCTTGATGTTTTGCCAGTTCTTCTTGAGCAGAGAAGCCAAGAAGTTGGCGGCCAGCTGCACGTTTAGCTCGATCTCGTTCTTGGGCTGCTCCACGTTGGCCACGGCCACCGAGAGGCACATCACCTATTACGCAACGTTGGTTGTAACGGATAACTACGTCGTCACGGGACAAGTGAGCATCAACAGGTCTCTCGTCGGAGAGGTTGGACATTCTGCGAATGGCCACCGAGAGGTGTATGCCGTTGAGCACACTAGGTACAGCAGTGTGATGCCGATAACTTAGTTTCCACGCAACCCAAACTCTTATTTCCTCATGCAACTCGCGTGCCCGCCCGCGGCATTGGACGCCGACACGGTATGTCGAGAGAGGCGCCGGCATTCCATCACCGAAAGACGACAATCCTTCGACACAAGACCCTGACCACAACCTTCTTGTTCCTACAAAGCGACCCCATCATGTGCGAGGCCTCCATGCTCATGGTCCAACGACCACATCGCCTTGACATGAGTAACCCCCCTTCCCTCCCAAGCGGTGTCGATATCCCACCTTCTTCATCTGGAACTTGATCGTGGCACGCACGGTGTCGACCTTGCTCTGGAGGTTGTCTCCGGCGTTGACGAGGGTGGGGAACTTACCAGCCTTGGTAAGACCGGGGCCCAGCAGACGGGGGATCTGGGGAAGCGTAAAAAAAACGTGGCTCGCGATATCACGTCTCACCCCAGCATGCCAACAGTCGCATTTTCGCTTGTCCGGGGCTTGCCAAGTATTGTTGCGCACCTTGTGGCCGGGGAATCGCATCTATACCTCCCTTTTCAACGCGATGTTACCCGAAGTCAACGAGGTACTTCGTGACCTTTGGCGCTCGTTAGCGTCACCCTTCGGGAACTCGAAGCGGCTTCCGGTAACCGTACCGTGTTTTTTCGTTCGTTGCTAGAGACTTGCGAGTAAATTCTCTAGAGAAGTTACTGTTGTGTTTTGATGGTAGGTAAACGTGCGAATATTATCACAAATCATCACGATCCTTATGAAGTAGTGGTCCCGCTAGAATGCCGGTAGGTGCCAAATCGTAATCGTTCAGACAGTTAAAACAACTTGAATAGTCCATCTGTGTCACGACATTTTACGGGTCGTACATACCATGGTAAAGGGCAACCTGCAGTGTACCGGAACCACTGCTGTGACTCCATTGAAACCAACTTGAATATTCCATTTGTGTCATGACATTTCACGGGTAGTATATACCATGGTACAGGGCAACCCGCAGTGTATCGGAACCACTACTGTGACTCCATTGAAACCAACTTGAATATTCCATTTGTGTCATGACATTTCACGGGTAGTATATACCATGGTACAGGGCAACCCGCAGTGTATCGGAACCACTACTGTGACTCCATTGAAACCAACTTGAATATTCCATTTGTGTCATGACATTTCACGGGTAGTATATACCATGGTACAGGGCAACCCGCAGTGTATCGGAACCACTATTGTGACTCCATTGAAACCAACTTGAATATTTCATTTGTGTCACGACATTTCACGGGTAGTATATACCATGGAACAGGGCAACCGGTAGTATACCGGGACAACTACTGTGCCTTCAAGATAGAGCGGTACAGCAGTAACATTCCAACAACGGTGTCCTGACCTGCTTGATGAGAGAGTCCGAGGCCAGGAAGGCGTCGTACTTCTTGGCGAACTTCTTGATGAGGTTCTTGTTCTTGTTGAACTTCTTCAGGTCCTCCACCGACATGTGGTCGAGGCCGATCTGCTCAGCCTGTTGGTCGCGCGGTCGTCCAACATCGATTTCGCATGAGTCATGTCCAAGCACACGACAGGCCACAAGCGAAAAATGAGGAAACGTGCACACCAAGCCAGCCCAGCGAGAAATAGTACAAGGGATGGAAAAAAGCTGGGGTGCCGTGTCGTAAGTGGGTACAAAGCGGACGAAACGAAACGGCGGGAAGAGCAAAGTCAAAAACACAAGCACTCGTTCATATACCCATCACCACAACGGTATTCAGTACCTCGACCCCGCCTCAAAAACACCGGCTCTGAAGGGTCCTTGCTGTGCGAGACCATTGTTTTTTTCATTTTCGTCATGCCATCGGATGAATCACTGTTGTCTCATACACAAATCAAGATAATAGACAGCAACAAACAGGAAAAAGTGGCCCATCGAACAGCATCCAGCCACGTGACAAGTGGGCGTTCTGCGGATAAATAACCCGACCGCGGTTTCCTTCCAACGCAGCATCACCACATAGCGTGAACGTGCACAGCAGTTCGATGGGGGCTGTGCCTGAGAAGCTGCTGCGAAACATGCCAATGACTGCCCGGGGAGCATCGCAGGGCTCGATACTAGTGGAAATGCGCTACTCGCTACGCACGAATCACGCATGAGTTGCGGCGACAGCTTCAGCTCTCGCCTTCAAAACGGATGGACATGATCTTCGAGACCCATGCTGGAGCGTGTTTTCCTGCAAGGCCTCCTAAATATACCACCGTGAGGCGTTCTATTAGATGAAACGAAACAGGTGGGATAAATGCTGCTGTTGATCCCCCCTCTCCTAGCTTGCTCATCGCACCTGCTCGCAGTGCACAGCATTACCCAGCATGCAGAGCTTCATCCGCGGGCTGCATGGTAGGATAGTCCGTTTCCAAAACAGGGACACGCCGCCGAATGTGTTGGCGCCGTGGGTGTGGCGTACAGTGGGCCGCACGAGACGGATTTGCCACGAACCACCAGCAACGCCGCATCGCGATGCGGGAAACACACAAAATAGGAGTCAGCACGTCACACACAATGCACAGCAGGTAACATCAGTGGCGCAAGAGGTACTCCACTGGAGAGCCTCCGCGCACAGAGGCAGCCCGAGGCTCGGAGGCCGGAGCTGCTCCTCTCTCCCCCCGACTCCTATTGTAGCAACACTTGAATTTTTGAATGCACCGTGCAATTTCAGGTGGGGTAGAGCAATAGTTTTGGCCACCGAGTACAGAAAGCCACCAATACTTGATTTCACGCTGGTGCTTTGCTCGGTAAGCCTAAGCCGCACAACAACAGCATCGAACCAATATAGTGGAACCGATTGTCCCACAATTTTGGGGCTGTGGATTTTTTTTAAGGGTTGTCAAAAGAATTGGGTGACAAACAAATGTGTGTTGCAAAGCTCTCGCCAGTAGCTTTCGAATAAGCCGTTCAAAAGCGGTGGGTTCGCTCTGGATCAGGAGTTGTGGACCTATTACCATCGCCAGCGAAGGTACTCCACTGAATCCTCCATATTTCGACAACTACGGCGAACCCATCGAAACAAGTTGCAGGTAGTTCACGCTCTCTTTCTGTTCTATTTTGTGGCGTTGGTTCCATTTCCGAACCTTTTTGACGACATGCCGCAAAAAAATCAGAAACAAGGTTTTAAAAAAAATTGCCCACATCAGCCCCAACGGCTGGAAACAAAACAAGCTAGCGGTGCACGCACTGCACGCCCATGACCTCCATGCTTCGCCCTGAGGCCCATGCGGCCACCAGGGAAGCCCTGACTAGGCGTGGTTCTACGTTGACCTGAATGATTGCTTCTGTCGGTTTCGGTTTGTCCACAAAGTTTGTTGTCCGTGTTTTTTTTCGAACGGCTGCGTTTCCCTCACGGTCGATACGATCGGTAGTATTGGGCGTGATGCACTGTATGTAGAAGACTAGTTTTTGGCGAATGTAAAAAGAAGTGCGGGGGAGTGTCGTCTAGTGTAAAAACAGGTTTTCCCAACAGGGTTTTCCCAATGATCAAGCGAAAACAACGAAATATCAAGCGTTAAACGACAAGTTTTGCGACCAGAAAAGGGGGTTACAATCTCTTGTGCCCCTCTTCAAATGCGTATACAGTAGCGGCTACGGTTTAAGAGAACTTATTTAAGAGAAAGTACGGATTTAAGAGAAATTTCCTCTTGCAGCTGGGATTTTTCTCTTGAATCGAACAATATGGAAACCACGTGGACACACACACACACATCACACACCCACACAGCTGCAGACACCATGCCCTGCGCGGCGGGCAGTCGCTGCACGGCTGTCCCCATCACACGCCAGGCCCGCCGGCGTTCACAAATCACCAATGTAGAGGAGTCTGCGGGCAGTACCTCCATGGCACCTGTGGTGTGGTGGACCCTCAGGGCACCTCCGAGATGCATCGCATCTGCCACAACTGCCTGTCCTCCCGTTGGTTTCTTGGGTTTTGTGTTATTTGTACGGCGAGTGATGTTTTGATATTGTGAAGCTCTATTTTTTTCGTTGACTTGTGTTTTTGTCGGGGGTTTAAATCGATGGGATGAGAGGTATGAGGGTGTTATGTTGAGGGTACGGTGGGAGGAAGGGGTGCACTGTGTAAACGGGTGCGTCGTTCTTGAGTGCTGGTGCATTCGTTGCCTCGTGTTGTCCTTCTAGAAGAGGTGCGACTATGAAACACAGCTATAAAACAACTCAACCAAAAACCTTTTACGTGTCCACGTGCAAAATGTGCATCGCATCACACAACGATGATTTATTTTCCGAACGCAGATCCACCAAAAGCGTACCACGTACAGCAGTACTTGGGTCCACGTGCTTGCCAACCAAGAGAATGAGCGGTGTTTGGAGGTAGCCCGACGTGGTAACGCTAGCTGCGCAAGTGACATGCATGATACGCTCTCTTCATGACCTATTTTGGCATTCGAGTGTAGTCAGTGCGCGAGAGTCCCTGTTTCACGACCTTTAGTTTTGTCTACGATATAAGAGAATATTCTCTTTTAGTGAGATACTGTTTAAGAGAATTCTCGCTTATACAGTAGCCAACTCGATATAACAGAAAGTCGGATTTAAGAGAGTGAAATTGGCTTGTACCGACCCTCTCTTAAACCGTAGCCGCTTCTGTATCTACTTGTTAAGAGTTTTTCTTTTTGAGGGCGCCATCGCGTTCGCCTGCTCAAACCCCGCCGATATCAACCGAGAAACAAAAAAAAACGGCATGATTACGATAGTGGTTATCGAGATATTGGAGGAAACGTTTTATCCCCTCCCTCCCGAAAACGCCTGGAAAAACCTACACGAAAACCACGAATTCTCAGGAATGTCTTAAAACGATTTGGTCCCTGAACAACAATTGTGGCATTTGCGATGGAGATCAATATTAGAAAAAAAAATCATTATTGATGAAGTTATGGCCGGTCAACTGAAATCGGTGGGACAATCGGTTCCACTGCAGCACAAAGGCACGCACCCGCGGAGCATTCATGCTGCATACAGAGTATGCTGTGCAACAGCCCCACCTGTAAGTCTGGCAGCAGCAGTCTCGCGTAAATTTTCTTTACTCACCGGGGAATGGTGGGCAGCTTGAAGGTTCCGGAGAAACGCTTGTCGCGCTGGGGGTCGTAATTCTTCAGGGTCACCTACAGAATCCGCGGAAGACAAGCGAGTAAAAGTAGGACATCAAGGCACAGAAACCTATCATGCCCCTCACCAGCCTTGAGACAACAGCTTGATGTGGCGTCGTGATGCTTGCTTGCAGAGCCGCGAGGAGGATGTTTGGCAACGTGTGCGAAAAATACGCGCTCTAGTTTTCACCAACCCGACCAGCAATCACGAGTTCGTTGGACTACACCAGAATGCCAGGTGGTGTGCTCAGGTGCCTACGGGCTACGTCTTAGCACGTGTGTACAGAATTCAGCCAGGTCGGTGGGGCGAGGCTGGTGTCAAAGGTGTCTTGTTTGGGTTTCGATGGCCGAGATTGCTTCTCTTGGGCGTTTGTGTGAAAGCGTCGGGAGGGTTCAAAAGACAGCGTGCCAAACAAAACCTCAAGGGGAGCAACGCTTGGAATGCAACCAGTGCTGTACTGCGGCACGTTATCTTCCGGTCCAGCAGGTGGTACCTGAACCGCACTTGTGTGTGCTACAACAATGGCGTTGTGCATCCAACCAAGGCTAGCTTCATGTACGCTTTTTAGAGAGGGAGAATCACCTGGAGCTCGATGGACTCGGTGAACTTGCGCTTCTTGCCCACGATCTCGGTGTCACCCCTCTTGATGGTCTCCCCGGCCGAGAAGGCGAGGATGTCATCCACAGCCTTGGATACGAGTTCGCTGTTCAGCTTGCTACTCATCTTTGCCAGAAGTTGCTCGTTAGAGCGAGGACTGACTACGCGCCTCTCCAAAGCCACTCAACAGAGAGTAGGGGCCCCGTAATATGCTCGAATATAGGACAGTGTACTCCGTAGATCAGTCGACGTGCCTCTAGCTCATGTAGCAAGCTGTGTGCGCAGCAGCGGCGATGCGGAGCAGAGCCAACCAAGAGCGAGTATGTGGTGGTGAGAGGGAGTTGGTTCCGGGTAGTTGTCTGTGTTGGGCTCTCCACGTTTGTGGGGACTACGTGCGGCAGCATCGAATCCCTAAACTGGGTCTACGAGGAGCATCGCAGTGCATCTGGCTGGTGATCTCGGCCTAAACATTATGCGACCACAGAGGCATGGGTCTTGGAGTGCTCAGGACGACCTCAAGGTCGGGCGGCACACCGTGCGACTCAAGAGGAGCCTCGGCGAAGGAGGTTTTGCCTTCATTCACCTGGTGGAGGTGAGGGCCTTGTCCGCTTGTTGGCGCTCTTGCAACACAACAGGACAAAACGGACCTCTCTCGTCTGTCCGACGATTGTCTCCCTGTTCGATGTGCCTTGTAAGGGGGCGCCATCACAGCAGTCAGCGTCCATAGAGCATACGGGAGCTTACACCTAGGGACACGAAAGGGCCAGGGTATGGGTGGCCCATTGGATTGTGTGTCGGCGTCTGTCCCAGCGAGGAACAGCATAGCAGACACTTGCCCGCAGGATCACGGAACGTGCTACGAAAGCAGCCCTTCCAAGTACCTTCTTTCCGTTTGGCGCCGAACGGATGAACATGTTGTTGTCATGCACACAACCCTTTCGCCGAACCGCCTCGCTACTGTAACACCAACCACACGGACGGCAATTCCGCCCATCCGTTCCCGGCACGTCAAGATGGTTCAGCAGCAGCAGAGCTCACCGCTTTTGTATCACATTATTGTCCAAGATGTAGCCCGGCTGGAAACAACGTAGTTGTTGGAATTTTCCCCGCGCCGGCATGTGTCGGACTTCGGGGGGTCCCGGTTGTGGATCCCGAGGCCATGCAAGGCATCATGCAATGATCAATTATTCATCTGCCGCCAGAGTCCACCGACGCGCTTGATGTGCTTTCGTTGTTGTGCAAGCGCCATCGTGCGACACGGCAGTGTGGCGAGGCCAAGAACTTGCTTCTTGACTCCCTTCCCGCCAACGGAACATGTGACATATTCGGCGCTCTTGTGAAATGACGCAAGGGGTGTCAAAATTTCTGCCGCAGCAGTCGGGGCGGACGTAGAACATATGTATGGAGAGCCGCCACATTTACCCTGGTGTACCCTAATTAATCTTACCCGAGCCCGTCCCCTAATTGATCTTACCCGAGCCCGACTGATCCATCCCACCGGGGAGCGTAGATGTAGAGAGCGCAAAATGCTCTACTCCGCGTGGACACCCGAATGCCGTGCGATCTTCACGTCTTGATCATGAGTTTCTGTACCGGGGTGAACTGGCGAGAATTTTCAATTGTTCCGCCGCTCAAGCAATCCTACATCGCTGACGTGGCTTCTGCCTTAGTACTGTACAGTGATAGGGAACCTACACCCCTAGCCTAACCCTTGACCTAATCCTAACCCTATGTCTGGGGGTGTGTACTGCATATGTAGAGGGGGTTACAATCGGGTCGCTCGCTCACAGCCGATCCTCTTTGGGGTGTGGAAGAGCACCGTTTACCCGTCGTTGTTGGGATAAACCTAGGGCCGTGTACAATGTACGAGGCTGGCTGATTCTCGCTTCGATTGTTTCCAGTGTAGGTTTTTCGCACTTGGCCTTGAGAGGCGCCCCGGTTAACGTGCGGTAGGGAGCTGGGAGTGCTGTTTTTGGAGCACATGTGCTCCCTTCGCGGAGGTGCCGAGTTGATTGGTGCAATTGTAGTGTATTTCTCCTCCGCGTTGATTGGTGCAATTGTAGTGTCTTTACTGAAGGCTTGGGAATTCCGCCGTATGTATGTTCCAGCGGCATCAAACTTTGCAAGACCTGGGCCCTTCTGATTGCATATGCGCATGTTCAGGGTGCCCCGATTGCATGCTGTTGGCTGCTTGACAGTAAGTACAGTAGCACAGGATCACAACAGGTGGTGGTACACGCGTTCGTGCGTGCATGAGTGGTTGATTGTTCTTGGCTGTTGTGTCCGGCTGACCAATGAGAAGATATCGGTGTCGTTGAGTTGAACACCACCATCTCCTGAAGCGAACCAGAGCTCGGCGTTGTTGGTCAAGCTCAGGATGCACTGGTAGGGCTCTCTGCAAACCACGTTATGGCATACACAAGCGATACTGAAGCCTCGATCGAGTATGTTTGTTCAAGTGTTCGCTATCATAGCTGTGGTAACCGACTGTGCAATGATCAGGCCGTCTGTGAGTGTGTGTGTTTTCTTTCTTCAGCATCGAACGTGCTATCCGGCTGGCCAATGAACATCTGTCAGTCTCGAAGCGGGAAATAAATGCGCGGACACGCTTCCGATTCCGCGGGACCCCTCAATCAGAGGGTCCTGGTGGAGGAGATTGTGCGCCCTGGGTCCCGTCGCCATGTTCAGCATTCTTGCGGAAGACCCCACATTGCAACGTGACACCGTTCCGGCGGTGCATGCCTCTCTGTCCGACTACATGTGTGTGTATGTTTTTGTTCAATCGAAAGTATTCGTGCTTGCGCATGCCTTACGTTTGATGTCGCTCGCAAAGAGAGCGTGTCCACGTGTTGGTTTCCGTGTGTCACACACTTGGTCCGGCGGCTTCGGTCTTCTCCCGCGAGTTGTACTCAAACGCGAACGTCGTGCCGTCCTCCCGCTTTTGTCTTTCACGCCCGTCATTTTGTGAAGGACGTCAACACGGGACGGTTGCTTGTCCTGAAGCGGTCGAGCCTGCAGAGCCACGAGGGCAGGGTTATCTACGAAAAGGAGGCGTCTATCATGCGCTCCCTCGCTCACCCCAACATTGTGCAGGTGGGCATGGACGTAGTCGATTGTAGTTGCCCCTTCAATTGTAGCTTTTTGCTATCCATTGTGACAGACACACCATGGTTATAGTAGCTCTTTGCTGTTGTCTGGTGGTGTTGGTGTTGGTGTCGTCGTCGTCATCGCCGTCTTAGTTTTTGACTTCGTCTTTGCCGCCCATCCCGCCAGGCCACCCGTCTTCGTCCCATTTTGCTCCCGCTTCATACGGCTTGCAAGATTTCATCCGCACGACACCCAACCAACTCACCGGAGAGCGAACGGCACGCATTGGTTCTTGTTTGTGAACGGGCATGGTCCTTCACGGGCCCACCTCCCACTCGCTCGGCGCACACTTCCATAGCCCTTTCAAAAACTTTTTTTACGGCGATGATGGTTGTTTCCAAGAGCGAAACAAACTCCGTGGACACAAATCGTTGCGTCACGACGAAGCAGAGCTTAGACGTGGAGTGTTATGTATCTCTGCGTCACGACACAACACAGCTTAACGCGGAGTGTTTACCGCTGCATCATTACACAACAGAGCTTAACAACGTGGACACGGCACAGCAGAGCTTAACGTGGAGTGTGTATCGCTGCGTTTCGACACAACAGAGCTTTTAAACCTGGAGTGTCACACACATCGTTGCGTCAGATCGTCACCGCGGTGGAGCTGCAGAGCTCCAAGACGGGCGCCATCTTGATGGAGTTTTGCCCACGCGGACACCTCCTCGAGGCGCTGAACAGCCTCGGCGGGAAGCTCATGGAGGAGGAGGCGGTGCTTTCGGTGATGTGCGACATCGTGAGGTGCGCTGCCGTGTACAGTCCCTCCCGTTGTCCTTACGAGCGGCGCAGCGTTTTTTGCCGCCCCGGGATGGAGTCAGTAGGCCGTTCTTTTTGCTCTTGCCCGGAGCTGGTGTGGATGAGCTCCGTTCCGTCCTAGTATAAGAAAAGCAGCAGTAGTATTTGAGATCTCGACTGGTACGTAGGTAATAGAGGACAGCCGATGTGGGAGGTTTTTGTTGCGATCGAGGAAGACGCTGTGATGTTGATGTTGCCATGTTTTTTTTTTTTTACAGTTTTCTTGATTGTCATCTACAAGCTCCAACACCACCCCGTGGCCATGGGTTAGACTTTACGAAGGGCATATACAACACCACGGAAAACGGTCACTGTGCTGGTATCCGCGTACATCTGATAACATCCACGTAGGTTTCAAACAACCGTGGCGCCTTGGGCACTATGTATGTGAGCACACCACGAAAGGAAGGAAATGCACCACAACTTACAGCGAGTGGTGGAAGGAGTGTGCTAGCTGGCGAAGCTGTAGGCAATGAAAAGTGCGTGCCTATCAGCACTCGTGTGATGGGGGTAGAGGTCGCCACAAGCTCATTCTTGCGAAATCGTTCTGCGGGGGGTGTAGTGCCCCAACCGACCCGCTCTTTTAAGGTAAACACAAAGCGCGTCCCCTCCCCCCATGTGTGTGTGCGCGCCTCTGTTTTTGTTGCCTTCCAGTGCTGTCAAGTACCTACACGATAAGGGCATTACCCACCGAGACGTTAAGCTCGAGAACATCCTCAGGTCTTCCTCTGGATCCCACAAGCTTTGCGACTTCGGCTCTTGCGTTCAGGTGTGCGCTGATGGCGGCGTGTCCACTTTTGCCACACGATGCCGATGTGTTCCCGTTTGGTGCCTGCGATGGGGGTGTCTGCTTTGCCGCATGATTGCCACTGTTGCAGTGTTTGCGACCCACGATTGTGGCGTGTCCATTTTGTCGTTTCGGCCACATGATGCCGATGTGTCCCCCCCCTTAGTGCCTGCGATGGTGTCTAAACTTTGTTACATGAGGTCAGTGTTGCGGTGCTCGCGACGCACGATGGCGGTGGTGTGTCCACGTTGCCGCATGACGCCGACGTGTTCCAACTTTGGTGCCTGCGACCGTCGTTGCGGCAGGGTCGAGTGCCGCTGGACACGGCCGAGCAACGAGCGAACGAGGAGGAGGTGGTGGAGAAGACGACGACACAGATGTACCGCGCCCCCGAGATGGTTGACCTGTACCTTGAGAGGGAACTCACGGAGAGAGTGGACATTTGGGTGAGTATGCAGCAGTTGTTGTCGTCGCCTTCATGTGAAGAGCCGTTCCCTGTCTCCGGTCAGTGCTGTGCCTTCTACCATCCATACTGGTCCAACTGACGCGGGCCCCTACTACGGGACTGTTTTTTTTTTTGTTGTCTCGTCGCATACGCACGCAAGTGCTGCCGTGGTTGACTGAGTGTTGCAGCGAAGTGGATGTCTGCAACGGTTGTACTTTGTTGGTGGGTGATGGCCAATGGTGAGGGGAGAGGGTTGGAAGGCCGGCGGTTTGCCCCGTATCCGTCCTACCACGACACCTTTTTCTGTTTCTTGACCAAACCCCCTGGTTGCTGATTGGTGTGACAGAACGCGACACCATCTAAGAACCTGGGAGTGAAGAAGTTCAGGCTCGAAAAGAGATATCACTTCCAAGAGCGTGACTGACAATACAATCATCTCGAACGAAAAAGGTACTCAGCAGTTGCTGCTGGGTTACCTAACGGAGAAGAAACAAGCACCTAACCCCGGGAAAAGTACGACCTTCTCTACTCGTTCTTCCGTCCTTACTCTCCCTCGACTAGCTCGAATGGTGCTCGCTTTGGTTGTTGGTTGCGTCTCTGCCGACCCGAGGTTTGCCTTGCCCGCACTGCTGTGCATCAAGTCATCCTACTCCCCCGTCCCTCCTGCTTCGTGGACCGCTGCAGGCTCTAGGCTGCATACTGTACGCCGTGTGCTACCTGAAGAACCCCTTCCAGGATGCCGGAAACCTGGGGATTCTGAACGCAAAGTGAGACGTTGCCCAGAGGGTGCCGTCCTTTTTGAGGTGTTGGTTATCTCGTGCCTCGCTGACTGCCGCGGGGGCAACGATGTTCCCCGTTACGCTTGCCGAAGAAGTTTCAGTAGCGCGCTCTGGGAGTTGGTGCAGACTTGATGGCGTTTGCGTTGAAGTATGAATCCCTTGTATCCGCTGGCGTGCGGGATGGCACCCGTTGGGTGGGTGTGATGGAAGCGCGCCCGTCTTGACACTCGGAGCATTGTTGTTGATGTAACCATGGCTTGCCGTCGCCCGGTCGCACGCCGCGCTATGCACCACCAGCGCGGTCCACATCAAGCGGATTCCTCGGCCCTTCTCCTCCCTCTGGCCATCTTTCATCCGACCGCGGTTCAATTTTTTCTCTCGCGGACTGCATTTGTTGTGAAGATTTTGCGCGAAGATTGGAAGAGGATCAGACTCCACACGCCGGTCGCCAGTCGTCCCGCCAGGTCCCCAACCAGCGTTGGCGAGTGCTGCAGCGGTCTACTCGCAAGCACGGCCCGTGCCCATGCACTACCCTCATCCACGTTCCCGTTTTTATTTTTCTAATCATCTACTGTACACTGTACACGCCCAGGATTCGCATCCCCGACGACTCTGTTTTCTCTTCCGGCTTGGTGGATCTCATCCGGCGCTGCCTCACCGCGTCACCAACTCACCGACCGAGCGCATCCGAGGTATTTTCTTGGAAATTTCCCAGCGCTGCTGCAGGAAGAACGGGTCAGGACTTACTACGGGTTAGGGTGGGCTTCAGGGTTGGGTTAGCCAATCCGATATGTGGCCAATTGTTGTCAGGGTTATTGCAGCAAGCGCTGGTGTGTGGCGTAACGGTGGGTATTGTAGCGCTTGCCCGTGAAGGACTTGATGGCGCGCATCTTGAAGTGAGTGAGCATTTCACGCTAGATGATTTTCCTACCCTACCATGCATTGTTGTGGGTAGGGGCCCGTTGGGCTCGTTTCAGCAGGATTGTTCCGGGAGGACGAGTCGGCGCGATCTTCCTTGCAGTATTGCACAACTATTCACGTTGCTCTGCCATGCCCCCCCCCCCCCCCCCCCCCCCCCCCCCCCCCCCCCCCCCCCCCCCCCCCCCCCCCCCCCCCCCC